AGTACATTTACAGTTATTTATAGGCCAAAATATTTTAACAAAACACCAACACAGTCACCATCACCATCTGACAGTAGCGTTGTGTTTTTGCTTTGCATGACTGAAAAGACTGAATCAGAAAGCCAAATGTGCGTCTTCGTAGCGCAGTGGTTAAGTGCTTACCATTCAGATCCCGGTCGTGGTATGTTGACTCCAATACTGAAATGAAGAAATATTTCTGCAAATTCATCTCATTTTTGATGACCTAAATGTTCTCAAAAACTTACAAAACTTTGCATACATTCCAGGCGGGTCAACAACCAACAGGAAGTCGGCAGTTTAGATTTAATTGTCATATTTGGCGATTTACACACTCCACCTTGAATACCTCCATATGCCATTATTCACCCAAAGTCATAGCGCCATGCTTCATGCTGTGATGTGTTGGCAATAAAAAACTGTCCCAGAAAAGCCTTAACACAGTGATGATGCTGTGTTTTGAAGCTTATTAATAACTACATGACATGCATATTGTTGTGTCCAAGTGAATTCTTTTCTGTTGAAGTAATTTTAATCAATGCATGACACATCACTTTATTCTACAAAACCCATTCTGGTTTAATACATTTACATTGTAATGATGTATATTATTTATTACAAACTCCCAAAATGTCAGGTGGTACAACCATCTGTGCAAATAAACAGTTTTAAGAAAAGATTTTTTTGGGATAGTAATTGTATTTTAAGGATAGTAATCCAAAATAAAATACTGTGGTATGATGTTATGTTTTAAACTTTTAATATAAACCAAATTGTACAAAGTTGCTGAGATAATTGAAAAAATTCTGTTCAGCAGTTTGCATGTTTTCAGTTGTCAGGGTAGTACAACCGTTATTCCGAAGTAAAAATTTATTAACAGGTTATTATATCATCCAGAGGGCCCCACGTGACCTTTATGTCTGAGTGAAAATCCCTTTCAAATAATGATAAAAATACCTATGTTCAACTTATAGACTGGTTCACTTTCCATGTCAGTGGTACAACCAATGTAATACTTGGAAATTATTAATTAGGGCCTGAGCACAAACTGTGCAAGGTCCTTATTGAAACTGAAGGTATTCTTTTTTTTCTTTCTGGAAAGTAACCTCAATTTTGGGGGCCTAAACATACTTGAAAACTCACCGAACTTTGCACAAAATTCAGGAGTGGCGGAAATTTCGTATTTGATGGGTTTTGTGCTTGGGCGTGGCAAAATGGCTCGGTTGTGCCCCCCTACAGAGCAGCCCCCGGACTAAGTTTTACCTATGTGTATGAAATGTCTGTGGTAGGTGTATCATGTCCAGACGTACAAAAAAGCCTCTTGGAGCCATTGCCTAAACCCAACAGGAAGTCGGCCATTTTGGATTTAATGGTTATTTTTGGTGATTTACACACTTTGTACTTAATAATATTTCTCAGGATGTATTGACAGAAATGCAATATAAGATCCATAACTATGTTTTCAGTGGTGTACGAAGACCTTACATAATGAACCATTATGTTTTTATTACCTTAGAATGAGCCATTTTTATCTACATAACCACGGGCACCCCTTCTATGGAGGTCTCAGTATTGTGTCGTCATGTTTCTACAATAGCCGACAACGGACAAACAGTGCTACAGAGCGCGTTTCGTCATCACAGTGTTCTTTTGCTTGTATAATTTCGGCAGTGTAGATGCCCGTCACTACATTAAGGGCCAGATTTACTAAAGGTTTGCGCAAGTAAAAACATGTGCAAACTTGATATCACCAGCAAATTAGCATGTAAGCTGATCTACTGACGGTGTGCACACTGAGTGACGTCTTTCAAAAGCACAAGATAGCACCTGTTGTTCATTTAGTACTTTTACCTTAATGAATATGCAATTTGGGGCGTAACATGCAAATACATTTATTTACTACACGCAATGTGATCTACCAAGCCTAAACACAATTTCATGTGAGTGCAACAGCCTCTGTATTTAATACGTTTGAAAGGAAGGTGCAAACCGTTGAGCAGAGATGGCTGCTGTTATTGTTACCAGAAGGAGACACAGCCGTAATGAAAGAAAATGTAGAGAAATTAACATTAGATAATGTTATTCTATAACCAATGTATTGAAATACAATTATTTTATTTATTCGATTAACTATATGAATAGAATTTTTTTTGTATTTTCATTTAGCAAAAATTTAGCAAAATTGCTTTGGCAATACTGTTGTATTAACATTCATGCCAATAAAGCAAATTTCGTTTCAACCTGATTTATTTTCTCCGTGTAAGGGAAGAATTTAGAAAGTTGTGTGGCGTTGCGGAGAGCCCCCAGCTGCAGTGCATGGATCATGCATAAAATTCATCCAGCCAGAGGGAACAATCACCAACTGTTCACAGCGCGCCGGTCGTAATAGCAACACAACTCATTGTAGGAATCGAAGAGGGAATGAGGCGTACAGGGACAGATCGCGGCGCGACCGAGCACGGTGCAGACGGTCAGTGATTGTTCCCTCTGGCTGGATGAAGCACGATCTGCTGGCATTTCCTTGCGTCTGGGTCATTCCAGCATACTGTATCTATTTTTGCTGGGGTTTTCCAAAGCAGTTTTTCCAGGTGTGCTGTCCCAAGTACTTAACGCAATCTTAGGCAGGATGGGCGGGTACGATTTCCACATAATTGGGATGCACTGAATGAAACGAACCAAAGGCTTTCATGCAGTAGCTGCTTTCTCTCCCGACTCTCCATGGCGGAAACCATAAAAACACGCAAAACCCTCATTTAAATACTCCCACCTCCATTGTGTTTGCTGCTGTTGTCATCTACGCAATAATTCTTAGTAAATCACCCATAACGTCACCATGGGCTGGTGATGGCGCAATGGATAAAACACATGCGTTTAACGGCCAACCCGCTCTACCTCCTGAGCCACAGCCGCCCGATGTAAATCCACGGAGAAACCTATATGCGTCCGTAGAAGAAGAGGAAATGATAATAATATACAGTCTCTGAGTAGTCTTCTGGTTTATTAGAAGTAAGAGGAGAAGTGATATTTGGACAAATGAACGAGCACATGCGTTATTTAGCACGAGAGCCAACAGCCTGTGGATCTTTATACCATTAAGCCAGATGGAGTAGGGACAGATGCAGACAGCTGACAACAGAAATCACGGATGTTGTGGATTTTCCCAGATTGAAGGCTATAATGTGGGACAGATGTTTTCAAAGCGCTGCTGAATTAAGTTTGTCAGACTTTAGCAATGAAAATGAAAGCTGTTGTTTGATAGCTTTAGCTTGAAGCCGGCCATAATCACGAGAGACGTGAGGTGTTTCCCCTGTCAGTGGTGTGAAATATGTAGTTGCATTAATTTCATGTCGCCTACTTATTCTCCAGCCTGTAGGTTGGCTTTGCTGGTTATGTTAGTGAGACAATCAGCTGATCAGTAACGTTAATTGGCAATAAAGCCGTAACCTTAGCTTAGAGCATGGAAGCATCAGCCAGCTAAACTTTTACTGCCCTGGTAGAAAAATCATGTAAGGTTAGTTGGATTGGTTTATTCTCCAGCGCTGGCTTTGGCTTGTGGTGTAAAATATGTAGTTGGGATTAATTTCATGTAGTTACTCTCTCTCCAGAGCTCTGTTTTGGCTTTGTAGGTTAAGTTAGTGAGACAATCAGCTGATCAGTAATTGGCAATAAAACGGTAGCTAACAGCTGGAAGCTCAGATCAGCCAGCTAAACATTTACTGTCCTGGTAGAAAAAATATGTAGTTGGTTGATTGTAATTTCATGTAGTTATTCTCCAGCGCTCTGTTATGGCTTTGCAACGTGGACAGAAATGTGCCCTTACTTTGAGTGAATGAGTTAAACATTATTATTGGCAATAAAACAGCAGGGAAGCTCAGATCAGCAGCTAAACTTCACATTTTACTGCCCTGGTGGAAAACATGTATTTCTTTTTACTGCTAATGGTGATATAAAACAAGACCGTGTGTCTATCAAGTTACCAATAATGAATACTTTCAGAATTTGCATTAAAAAAATATGTTGTTTATGATATTGTTCTGCCACTGTGCACACAATGTGTAATTTGTACTTTCACATGCTAAATGCCCATTAAAAACGTCTGCCCATCCAAAATCGATGATGCGCCATGACACAGGAAGTTGTTATAACTTCAATATACATGCTCACATCTGCACCAAATTTTACATGTTTAATAAGAGTTGTGCCCTGAACACATCCATATGCCAATAATCACTCAGTCATACCGCCACCTGCTGGCAACAGGAAATTACATATTTTACGCTGTAATGTACTACTCCTAGCAGTTGGACATTTCAACTTCAGAACTGTCCCAGAAAGCCCTTAACACATTGATGAAGCCATGTTGTAAAAGTTGTTGTGAGTTTGCAGTTAATGACATGGCGGCAAAGGTCCACGCTTCGCCTTGACGCAGGAAATTGTTGTAACTTGACTGTACATGCTCAGATCTTTACCAAATTTTACACGTTTATTAAGAGTCCCGCCCTGAACACATGTACATGCCGACACCCACAGTCATAGCGCCACCTGCTGACAACAGGAAATGATCTTTAACGAAGCAGCCCTCGCGGCACAAAAAACTGAAAAAAAACGCTTGTATTTAGGCCGTCATGTTTTATGATTTTCTAAAACGGGGTGAGCTTGTGGCTGTCTTTAAACCCAAGATTTGGATTTCAGTCGTAATATTAATGATATACAGTATCCTTTCACACGATACCCACAATGACAAACTTCACTGACAAGATGAGGCTAGGGAAATATTTAATATTTAAAGAACACTTATTTGTAAGACACAACTTCCTAGATGCTACGATTTATAGGGAATTGGTGAGAATTCAGGGATTCTTTTTCTCATTAGAAAAGTCTGAATTGGTATTAGGCTCTTAAGGTTTGGTTCACATTCTTATAAAATGTTAAAAACTACAGTTTAGTGTACATTGTTTCTTCTGCCTGTCTTCCTGTACCAGCATCTTGTAGGACGGTTAATAGGGAAACAAGGGAGATACGTGAGTTTCCTGAAGCAGAACTCGGGCGCAAAGATCTACATCTCCACCCTGCCTTATACACAGGAGTTCCAGATCTGTCACATAGAGGGTGAGTCAGGGGAACCAGATCCCTGTGTCTTCTGAAGGTGCTGGTGGGAGGGAATTCATTCACATTAAGAGTTTTTCAAATGAAATGTTGAACATTTTACATCAGTGTCGTTTTGGACCACACCTAAAACTTTGACTTGTATTTGATATTTTTCCAGGTACAAAGCAGCAGGTTGATAAAGCCCTGTCCTTGATTGGGAAGAAATTCAAAGATCTGGACTTAACCAACCTATATGCACCTCCACCGCCCCCCCTCACGTTGCCATCACTTCCTATGACCTCCTGGGTAAGGATGTGCTCTTGGGCTGCGCTGTGCAAATATTTATTTTGAGAGTTGCTTTTTAGCTGCTACAGTATATTGGTAGACTACCAAGGCCAGGATACCTTGAAAATGCCTACATTTTTATACTTTCCAGCATATGTCAACCCAAAGGCGAGGGTCAGGCTTCATGATAAGAGATTATAGCTGCATTTTTGCTTTATGGTTAGTTGTTATTTTGCAATTTATTGCTACCCTTATCAGATCATTCATTCACATTTCTGCTCTACCTCCTGGATGCAGTCTCTATAAGGCGCCCCTGCCCGAAAAGCCCATTTTCTTCTGATTGGCTAACTTCCAGGAAGCCTGCCGAGGAGCTTGTGAGCTGCTGTGTCTGAGTCTAAGTTCTGTTTATAGACGCAGTTGCTAGTCACCATTGTTAGTCTAACACACAGAGCTCCGTTGGCAGCTCATCCTTCCACCCAACAGTCAACACTATGTTGATGTTATCCTCTTACACTAGTAAGATACTATTTAAAGTTAATAATGTTGGATTAGTCTTCATTTCATGGGGCTATTTGGAATTTCTGGGGTAATGCATACTGTGGGGGGACAAGTCCTTAAATACCTATCTACCAACTTCAAGCTTTAGTAAGAACTTGCTGCATTTTTGATAACTTGAAGGATTGGTAGTCCATCTAAGCCTGCTGCTAGTGTTAGACTATATTCTGTGACCCATCAGATTCTGTGACCTGTAGCAGTGCAGTTGACAGTTGAGGGAAACATGCTGTTTAAGCCCATCTCTAGTCACAGCAGAAGTATGGAAAACACACCTCATAGGTTTGTTCTTATTTTAGGCAGCACTGTACCTAGAAAATATATACAGCAGCAGTAATGTTCATCTACCTCAACAGTAAAATTACAGTAAAATGACCATAATACAAGCTACAAGGTGTTCTACCTTGTTTGTTTTATTGGCCAGTGCATTACATCATGAGTTACAAGGGAGGATGCTGCTTTTTTTGTGAATAAAGTGTGGTTTTAGCTATATGGAAGACTGTACCATGGAAGCCATTTACCAGAAGAGTAACTCATGTGTCATTTGTCTTCTCAGCTTCTGCTCCCCAGTGGAGTGACAGTTGAAGTGATAGTGGTAAACATCGTGTCAGCCGGTCACGTCTTTGTCCAGCAGCACACCCATCCCACCTATCACGCTCTGCGAAGCCTTGACCAGCAGATGTTCCTCTGCTACTCCCAGCCAGGCACCCCTGCCCTTCCCTCACCTGCTGAAGGTAACCTCTGTCATACAGTGGGGTTTAACTCAGTGCATACTGATAAATGTGTGTACAGTTTTACTCATTCTTTGTCTTATGAACCTATGACTCCATAGGCAGCCAGAGGTGCATCTTCAAAGTTAATTGTTCAAAGTTGATTCAGTTCTAAGTTGGTAAAATATCAGGATTTGTTATACTCCAAGCTCCCAGAAGCTATGCTACCCTGTCCAAAAAATCACCAATACCATATCCATTTTTATTTGTTGATGTTGGCACCAGGGCCTATTCAGAAACATAATTGATAGATCTGTGTTAAAGCTAGGGAATGTAATGTTTGAGAAACAGTTAGATTTTGAAAGTATCGAGCCAGAAAAATCCCACTGCCTCTGTTCAGGCCTCTGTACCATTTGCACTCCCACAAAATACACCAGGTAAACTTAGCTGATGTTTAAATACTTCACTTTCCCCAATTCAATATGAATCAATGATGCACACCTCAGGCTGATAAAACAAATCTCACAAAATGGGAAAAATGAAAGAAACAAAAATAGGTGACACTCTTCCAGTCAGGCAGTTAACAAATCACTGAGCTCAAAGCTGGGGAGAAGCTGACAATAACGGCTGGTGTGCCTCAACCTCACTAGTCTCCAGGATGGCAACACCAACATGAAACGTGTGTGGGTGTGCAGGAGAGTTAGACATTCAAATCAGTTGTGTGTCAGCAGTTGTCACCATGACAAACGTATTGTTGTCTTGGCATACACATGAATTGCTGTTAAGTTTTACTTTTTTAGAATTTAGATAATGTATACCTATATTAATGTCGGCTGCACTTGTTCCTTGCCAAGTCAAGACTGTACTGACACTTAAAGATCCGTCTCTGTCTTCAGTTGGTGTGATCTGTGCAGCTCCAGCGGTGGAAGGAGCCTGGTGGAGAGCTCAGGTCATCACCTTCTATAAAGAAACAAATGAAGTGGAGATTAGATACGTTGATTATGGAGGCTATGACAGAGTTAAGATCGACTCACTACGGCAAATAAGGTAGGTGTCAGAGGTCTCACTGTATTAGAACTGTGTAATCCAAAAATGTAAATACATAAGGACTTCTAAACAAACATAATGTAAGATCTTCTCTGAATATAGTTTCCTTCCAATCCTGGTCAACATCGGCTTTGTAGCAGTCGCTGTGGAAATGATATGCCAGGGAACTAGGATTAAGTCTAATCCTAGACGCATGCATATGTTTATTCAGTTTTGTTGCAGTGCAGGACCAAGTGTAATCCCCCTCCAGTTTAACCAGTTGTGTATATAGTCATAGTCATAGCACCACCTGCTGGCAACAGGAAATGTAAATGCTCTGTATTTGTATAGTGTCTTTCTAGTCTTTTGCACTATATCTGCATTCACCATTCACACACATTCATGCAATTCGGGGTTCAGTATCTTGCCCAAAGACACTTCAACATGCAGCCTGGAGGAGCTGGGGATTGGGCCTCCAACTGTCCGATTAACGGGCAACCCGCTCTACCTCCTGATCCAGTCGCTTTACCTACATGTATGAAATTTCTGTGGCACATGTATCATGTCCAGACGTACCAAAAAGGAGCAATGCCCAAATCCAAACAGGAAGTCAGCCATTTTGAATTTTATGGTCATTTGTGGATGGTTTACAGGCCTCCATACTTTAACAAACTTCTCCTAGAGAATTAGTCTGACGGACTTCAGATTTTCGCTGTCTACTCTAAACCCATTGACGATTAAATGTTATACAAACGCTGATGATTCGCCATGAAACAGGAAGCTGTTGTAACTTCAGTCTACATGCCCACATCTGCACCAAACTTTACATGTTTGATATGAGTCCCGCCCTGAACATATCTACAAGCCAAAATTCACCTGTAGTCCCATCGCCACCTGCTGGCAACATGAAGTGATCTACTTCAAAACTATTTCAGAAAACTCTTAACACATTGATTATGTCATGTTAGTTTTCCTTCAACGGTGTATCCTTGGCAGGGCGGCGAAGTTCCATGCTTTACCATGAAACAGGAAGTCGTCGTAACATAACTGTACATGCTCAAATCTGTACCAAACCTTGCGTGCAATTCATAGACAAATAATGACTGAATCAAGAAAATAATAAACATATTTATCAACAATGAAAATAAAAATTTGTTCCAGCCCTATTGTGAGGTATATTTCCATAAATTGTCTTTAACAGATTGATCCTTTTTATTTTCTAGGTCTGATTTTGTAACACTACCGTTTCAAGGTGCTGAAGTATTGCTTGACAACATTGCCCCACTTCCAGGTACAAAATTGTTTGTTTTAAGACATCATTTTTGAAGGTTTTTTAAGGTTAATTTTACTATATATATTCCCCAATCCCAAACTTACCTCATGACTGAGATTATTTTAAGAGAGTAAGAAATAAAATTATTTCATTCTAACCCAAGATGTGCAACAGATACTATCCCACCCTAGCCCATCCCACTGCTTATCTTTGTTTGTTTGTTTTTTTGGTTTGGATGAGTTCGTGTCTCTTGTGTTATTTTCAGTTATTTTATGAATTTAACTTGAGTAAGTTGTATAGTCATGTGCAATCGATCTGAAGTAAACAATTGTATGGAAGATGAAGGAAACTAGCATTAAAATATATATTTTTAAAGAGAATGTGAATTGTATCCAGCAAATTTAGTGTCATTTTATTAAGTGGTGACTTAATTTTAAATGATCTATTGTGTGGGGAGTGGCTTCATTATTTTTTCATTTGAAAAAAATAAAAATAAATTTCACCTTTCCGTGTTCTGGCATATGTCCTTGATCAGGAGAGGATCGTTTTTCACCGGAGGCCACAGCAGCATTAGAGGAGATGACCAGAGGAGTGGCATTGCTGGCACAGGTAAGACCACTCCCACTACACTGCTACAGGTTGTCAAAGTCAACTGTAACAAACAATAACAAACGAGCAATCTCTACCCCCCCCCCCCCCCCCCCCAGGTCTCAAACTACGATAACAACACGGGCCTCCCACTGGTCCACCTGTGGAACATGGTTGGAGATGAGGTACGATACTTGTATATACCATGGGCCTCACTTCTAAAAATGTTCTTCTGATTATGTGCTTCCGTTTGATTCAGAAAGATACTAAGCATAAAAACCTTCCTTATGCAGGTTCTGAGAAGCCCATTTGTAACTTACACACCTATGATCTATAAATCTCAAATTCACATAAATTTGACGGCATCTGCGTTACAATCAGCGACTTCCACTTAATCCAGGGCTCCAGACTGTGGCCAAAATGGACTATTTTTTTGAGTGTGCGCTTTTGTGAAATTTTATTTAGATTTTTAGTTAGAATTTTGAATTTGTTTCCATTAACTGTTTTTACGTTATTTTGTTCTCAACGACATATAGGATGTACAGTAAGGATTTTTAAATTTGAACTATTTTGTTCATTGAGTTCTGATGTGTGTGTTCCCTTCACTTTTTGGAGCAGTGTGGAGTTTATTATGCAACAACAATTACAGTTGCTGTAGTTTCAAAATCATACCACCATACTTTGGTATGCAGATATGCCACTAGCATCTTCTGAAAAGGTGAGTCCTGCTGTTTATTTTGATATGTTTCCCTTCAAGGCTACAAGCACTTCGCTACTTATTCACCTATGACTCAGCTGTGAGTTTTAAAAAAAAGATTACTCCGACCTACTTGTGCCCCTCCACACACACGCGCACACAATATTTATATTACAACAATAACTTTAGTAACAGCAAAAACTGTGAAATAGAGAAAGGGGAACATGTTACACTCAGGAGGAGGCATCAAGAAGGAGCACTGCTGATGCACTATCCACAACCTGTAACTAGTGTAAATTTGTGTATGAGTATAATATAACATTAAATAAAAAGTAGTATTTATAGATTACATTTTCTTTGGATAATCTGCTTACAGATAGTTTATAGAGTAATGGTAACATTTCAACAGCTTATTAGTTCAGATTCAGTTCAATTGTTTCACAAATAAAACTATGTTCTGATATTACACCACTGTAGTTAAGGTTTGATTACGACTAATGTTAGTATATTCATTATATTTCAGATAATAAGTCTATACTATATAGCTGACCACTAGTATATCCAGTTTCATTTTTGTGGGTTAAATCCTTGTGCAAGAAAAATGCTTTACATTGTGGTCAGGCTTTCATTTGTTAATGTTAAATACTAACTTGTCAATAATCATAAACAATCATGCATAACGAGTTCAGCAATTTCGAAAGTTAGCAGGTCAACCTTTTTTGATGTCCCGCCCCATCCAGGCTGTGATTGGGCGGTTCACAAAGTGACATTGAAAATTTGCAGTAATGATGTTGTAATGTTTAAATGATGTAATACGTTCATGAAGAAGGTAGAATTCTTTTGTTTTTCCTTGTATGAAATGTTCTGTTAAACTAAAGTGACGGGATTTTTTATTCTTTGGCTAAATGGTTAGTGTAGCTTAAGGCTTATGTCTGTGACAAAGCTACAACTTACAAAAGGTTAACATGTTGAAATATCTAGAGATTAGGCTTAAACAAATCAAACTAGAATTTGGTATTACCGGTTTGTGAAAAATCTGGCTTGGGCCTGTTGACTAGTAGACTACATTACATATTGAATATATGTGGAGTAGATTTTAAATTTTACACATCTAGTTGGATCTTGACTGTAGTGGCAAGACAAAAAAACAAAGTCAGTGAAATGCTGATAAAACATGGTCAGACTGTTGGCAGCCTATTTGACAAACTCACTTTCTAACTAAATTCTGCAGCTGCACCATGATATATCTTCTGTAATTAATGTGCTTGAATAACCGCTGTAATATGGACTGAAGACATGAAACAGCTTGTCTGACTCTGTAAGAGGGAAGAGACAAAGAAACTGAGCCGCAAGTTAGGTTCACATATTTTAAATTACTAGTCTTTATGGAATGGAAACCTTAGGGTTAAGGTTGTAAAGTGAAATTAAGTTTAACTCCATTCTGCTACTTAGCAGACAATATACAGTAATACAAAATCAATTGCAACCTTGTTTTATATTTTTGGATGTCTAGTCTTAAAATTGACCATTAGTACCTCCTGAAGGTCAAATCATATTTTTAAAAGACACATAAGCAAAATTTGACACCATTAAAACTTAAACAAATTATATTACTTTTTAAAAAAGATTAAAACATTTTGTTTATACAATCATTTGTATAAACCTACTTGGTATAAAAGTTATGAATAATAATATTTGGGGATATTATTATTTAGCGCTCGTATTGGGGGCACCACCTGAAATTCCATTCGCCTAAGGCCTTCAGGACGCCTTAGGTATGGTTTTAATAGTTACACAATTATTCACTAGTGATCAGTTAGTTAATAATTGCTAATCATTTTGAATCAGTTTAATCAATCAGTCAGTCTCATATCAAAGTTGTTAATCCTCTGTCCATTGACCTGGATTTAAACAGTACACAAACACAGTTCCTGTGATTAAGGTGAAATTTATTAACTAACTAAAGTGAATAAAAAGTGAAGTTAAATATATCAAAGACATACAACAATAATGATTAAACAATCAGAATGCAATCAATGAGTGTGAGAGAATTCAATGTGAGTCTAGTTGGTCTATTGTGGGAAAGGATTTGATTCTATGGGTTCTAAGTTATATAATCACGAAGTTAAATTTGGCTTGGAGTTTTAGGCTAAAATGACTATGGATTAAAGGCTAAATGATTAAAGATAAAGGACATCACCTCGACCACAGAATGTAGTTTGTTTGTGTTACTGCTTGTTGGTTTCTCAGCCGGTTGGTTTTCAGATGGCCCCATGACTAGTTAAAGCTTAGGTCCTTAGCGTCCACAGTTTCAGCAGCTTGGCACGCCAGGACCGGCTTTTTACTAGCAGGTTTGTCCTGGAGGTCCGTCCTAGCTGGCTTGTGGTTGAAGAAAAATTGCAGTGATAGGCCATTAGCCTGGCTTGGTTCATCGGTGTCAGCTAGTGTAACTAACCCACGTGGCTGGGTCCGAACTTGAGTGGGAGCGGCAGACGTTAATTCGACTGAAATAAAGCTTAAAAAGGAACTTGGTTGTTTCTGAATTCAAAGTTGCGTGGCTCAAATGGTCTCATAACTCTTAACAAACAAAAGAAAGTAAATTCAGCGAAGGTTCACGTGAATATGGCTAAGTAAGTTGCAGGAAGACGAAGAAAATTTCACGGACAATGCCGGGCCGTTGCTTGGACACGGAGCACGCTCCGATGCTGAGCGTAAGCGTGCCAAGAGACGAGCGAAGAGAAGAGCGCATGGCGCTGTGTTTTTGTTGCCTGGGGCGTGTTCCCAGGGGGAGGGCTTTGTTTCCCCCGAGACTTCTGTGTCTTAAATTAAACAAATTCCACAATCAACTCTTGTGAAGTTCTTAATTTTTCGAATTCAATTTCAATTCAATTTTATTTATATAGCGCCAAACAGTTATCTCACAGCGCTTTTCATAAAAGAGAAGGTCTAGACCGTACTCTATGATGTTATTTACAGAAGCCCAACAATTCCCACCAAGAGCAGCTCTAGGCGACAGAGGCAAGGAAAAACTTCCTTTTAAGAGGCAGAAACTTCGAGCAGAACCATGGCTCAGGGTGGGCGGCCATCTGCCTCGACCGGTTGGGGGTGAAGGAAGTAGCGGGAGAGAGAGGGACAGAGAAAGAGAGAGGGATGGAAGGAGAGAGAGAGGGGAGGGAGGCAGCCTACACAATATACACACAGAGGTACAGACAGTAAAGGTGATGTTGCTATAGACTAAATGAAAAATGGTAAAGATATTTATAGTAGTGTTTATGATAATAATCGTAATGTTAGTTATTATTGTTATTATAATCATTATCTCAGAACAGCCTGAAGACATTGATCATAGCATGATCATTAAGGCATTTTCAGGCATTGGCTATGTGTTGGTTATTGTCTGTGCTGCTGTGCGCATAATATTGAAACACTGTGCAGCGCAGTTACATATCTGACCAGCAGAGGATCAGAGATGTGACCCTCATTGCTTCCCTATAAGGTGCAGACAGAGACACTGTCACCTTGTGTAAAGGCGTTTGTTTTTGACCAACCACTGATTAGTTTCCTCACATTCACAGCCTCATTATTGATGGCAGCACATCTCGAAGATGGCAACGCGTCTGTCTGTGTGATTGTCATTACTGTCATTGTCCCTGAAAAGTTGCACTTGTTTCGGGTAAAGAAGGCTTCTGTCCTCGATACGTAAATCTGATTGGCATTGGCTGTTCTTTGTTGTACCGTGTTTACTAACTTTGAGCAGCATGTCTGGAAGCCTCCACAGGGCCGTGTACTCCCGTGCAGGACTTTCAAATGTAATTGCTACAGGCTGGCGGACGTGTGCATCTGTCTGTGCACCGGACATGAAATCATTGCCCCTGCCGCTGTTCTTCCCCTCTGATGATGTGGACTTGGCCCCTCTGATCATGGCCCCTCTGATCATGGCTTTAGAATAAAATGTTACTATATATGAAAGCTGAGGTGTCTGATTGATTTCAGGGAATGTGCAACCCAACCCAGGCCCAGACTCTGTTATAAGTTCAGAAGAATCAGAAGGAGCTTTATTGCCAAGTAGTGTTTTACGCATAAAACACTACTTGGCAATAAAGCCAATTTGCTCTGGTGTTAAGGTGCTACACGTAGACAGACATACAGCTGACATAAATAGATGTAGAAATAAACAAATGCAACTAATATAAGAATAGAGAAAAATAATACAACTGACAATATAAAAAAATAAAAATAACAATGGAACAACAACAATTTACAATTAACAACAAATATGTACAATGTGCCAGGTTTGTGCATGATATGAGATGAAGTGATATTTACATGTGCAGAGACGATTGTATTATTTGAAAGGGGGGGCCCGGGCCTTGTTGATAAGGCTAGCTGCAGACGGGAAGAAGCTGCCAGATGGGAGAGTCTGGAACGGTTTGTGACCGGGATGGGAGGCGTCAGCTGCAATCTTTCCTGCCTCCAGGACTCTGAGGC